TAATTTTTTAATTCGTACGTGTGACACCTATAATTTTAGGCAAAAGTTAATTGCGCAAACCTATGATGGGGCTGCGGTCATGGCCGGCCATTTAAATGGTTTACAAACTAAAATAAAGTCCATAGCTCCTCATACACTTTTTACGCATTGTCATGCCCATGCCCTAACTTTAGTATTGAGCAAAGCGTTCAACAACATAAAAATGTTCGCGCCTCCGGCGGGCTTTTCTTTGTGTATATAGTCTTTATGACTTTAGCCTCCCTTGGTCTCCAATGCACGATCCGTCACTGCCCAAAGGCGACAACCAACCAAAAAACAGCATGGTTTCTGTATGGTAGTGTCCGACCGAAAGTTCGGTTTCGGCAAAAAACGGGTTTCGGTAGCAAACCTGCCGAAATCGAAACTGCATTCGGAAGTTCTCGTGCTGTGATCGGTCATGTTCGGTGTGTTAAATTTCATACAAGCGACGAAAACATTTTGCCGCGTCCACGTGCCTAATCATGTCGTGACTTACATAAATATTAAGTACCTATTGTATTAGGTAACAACTTAAATAAATAATTTTATGTTTAATATTTTTGAAAAACCATTAATAATATTCAAAAGAAGAATCTACACCTACTAAAATAAACACCTCATCTATTTCAAGTATTTTCAAGGTGCAATTATTATTTTCCTTAAATAGCAGGTTGTTATGTTGATTATCAATAAGTAAAAATGTCGAAGACTACATAAAGTTGTGATTTGAAAATAACAAAATAAATACTGACTGATTATAATACCGTTTTCTTTATTTTTCCCTCAAAACATAAACCTTGTAAGGAAGTTTCGGTTTCGGCCGAAACTGAGACCGTTGCCGAAATTCGCTTTCGGTCGGACACTGCTGTATGTTGGTCAGCGATTCTCTATAATTTTCTGCAACCGGACCAAACCATCACCGCCGAGATCTATTGTGAGAATCCTGTTCCACGACAACGTCCGTCCAAACGTTTCACAAATCATCGTCCGAAAATTAAACGAATTGAGCGTCGAAGTTGTCTCATCCACCATACTCCCCAGACCTCTCGCCAATCGACTACCATATTTTCAAGCACTTCGATAACTTTCTCACCGGTAGAAACTTCGCCAATCATGACCAGGCAAAAACGGCCTTCGTCGACTTCATCGAGTCCCGAGCACATTTTTTTGCTGACGGAATTAATCGACTTGTGTTACGTTGGCAACAGTGTATTGATCCAAATGGCGTTTATTTCTATCAAATTGAGAAATCACTTAGATATTACAGGTTCATAAAAAACGGAGGAAACTTCTGAAAAACCTCTTGGATGCTGACAGCCCTCATTTTTATCCATTTGTATATTTTTCAATTAGAAAATTTCTCTGTTACCGAATTTCTACCTTCCAGAGACTTTCATAAGATTGTTTCTATGGCAGGATGACATGTTTTCAAAAAACTATTCATTTCCTAAAAATTAACGGGACATTTACGGGATCCTTGCATAACTACTGCTACTACTAAGTAGTTAGGTTAGGTTAAGTAACCTAACTTAACAACTGCTAAGAGTCAAAATTAAATCAAAATGGCCGGCTGAAGGAACACATATTAGGTTTGTTTTGGACACAATTCTGTACAGTTCGATCATGCGCAGTTATCAAAATGTGTTTTGGTTCAGTAAAGAACCGTTCTAGTATCGTTCACAAAGTGTTTTGGTTTTCTCCGAACCGATTCGGAACTATTCCAGAACGGTAATTATTAGTTCGTACATTTGAATAGGGACCGTTTAGAACTTCGAATTTGCTCTTGCGCACTAATTAAATATTTCATTTGCGTTGTAGATTTTGGTAGTAACGTTTTCTTAATCTCATTTTTATCCATATTTTAGTTGGTTTAGTTTGTGTTTCATTTGGTATTTTATCTACAATACGTACAATGTTCGTCTCCGGTAAAGCAAAGAAACTCGGAGAGTTCATTGCGACCTGTAAATAAGACAAAATTATATATTAACATTATTCTTATACTATAACAGATAGTCGTGAAATGTATGTAGCAATAATAATAATAATCATTATTATTGTCACATCTTTTACAATTCCAATAATTTATTCTTGGCATATAAAATGAACATACAATGTAAATACTCAAAATACACTCTTAAACATAATGTTATTTTTCATGATTACTGCACAAATAACACATCTCTACAAATAAGCACTCATCAAAGGCTCGTTCGATTGAAGACTTATTTATTTTGTAGAAATTCATGTTGAATATAGAATAAAGAAAATACTTCTGTCTAGTTTCTACTGTGTTTATTTATTCGTTACGACCGGTTTCGGCTTATAAGGACATTTTCAAGTAACTCACTCAGATTACTTGAAAATGGCATAGGTTGCATTCGTCAAAAATTTAGGAATCCATCAGATTATGTGCCAATTTCTCTGTTTGTTTGTGGTGAAGATATGATCTTGGATAAAATAGTGACTGTGTGTTGTGGATTGATTGATATCTGCCCACCAATAGTTGAGTTAGATTGAATTTATAATAAAAAACCTCATGAAATTGTTTTTGTAAATTGTATATAGTCTAGATTTGTATTTTTGTTCCAACTGTCGTGATATTTTTTATTGTATTGTATTATTGCAAAATCATATTTCAGATCATAGAGCTGAATTCAATTGGTACGTAGGTCAGAAACTAGGTTTTGTTAGTATATAGAATATATTTGCCAAACACTTTCAAAGATATTAATTTAATAAAACACTAAATAAGGTAATATTGTTTTGTTTATTCTCCCTGTCAGACGAGGAAGTCAGTTTCAATACACATTCATTGAACAAATGATCCACAATAGTGGTTATTTTAAAAAAGTGATTTCTCTTGAGTCAAAAAACAGTTAACAAGAAATAAAAGAAACACTTGAAAGAATAGGTATATGATGAAATTCAGCATTGAATATGAACATGAAAGCCACATGCAAAAACTGTTTACTGGGCCTGCACTCTCGAATTGGTTTATATATTCCAGGTCATACAGTACAGTAGCAACGTGAGTGCAAACTTCAGAATGGCCTGCCATGCAGGTACAATGAGCTGACATTATTGCACCATATTTCTCGAATATACTCCAGACTTGCAGTAGGGGATTGTTCGTCCTCTGTGAATGCTTGACCTAAGATTAAGATACATATTCAGAGAAAGTTATGGATACATCGAATTTGAAAAATATCTAAATACCTTGGCAATCACAACAATGTGCTCTCCGATTGACTTTGCTTCACAATCATGGACAAATCCAGCTTCAAAATATTTGTAGCCAGTTACAACTTTTGTAGGCCTTCATCTGCTGATTTGTATAGAAACTATGAGTTAGCACCAGATAAGAACTCGTATCGAAAGCAGTAACTGGTGGAAAACATAAAACTTCAGAATGGCCTGCCATGCAGGTACAATGAGCTGAAATTATTGCACCATATTTCTCGAATATAATCCAGACTTGCAGTGGGGGATTGTTCGTCCTCTGTGAATGCTTGACCTAAAATTAAGATACATATTCAAAGAAAGTTATGGATAAATCGAATTTGAAAAATATCTAAATACCTTGGCAATCACAACAATGTGCTCCGATCAACTTTGCTTCACAATCATGAACAAATCCAGCTTCAAAATATTTGTAGCCAGTCAAACTTTTGTAGGCCTTCATCTGCTGATTTGTATAGAAACTATGAGTTAGCACCAGATAAGAACTCGTATCGAAAGCAGTAACTGGTGGAAAACATTCTATAGAACTGTTCATTTCTTCTGAAGTGAAAGTAAAAGAATCCATGCACTGTATCACTCTGATTTTATCTTTGTAATGCACAGCAATGTCTTTGTTTTTACGTTCCAATGTTAGTAAATAATCACTTTTATTACAAACAGCTATCATAATTATTTTCACAGCTTCCAAAGATAACAAAACACGAAAAAACTGTGAAGTACCTACATCATTGTACTCATTGTGTGCCTACAGGCGGGCATATTGTTCGAGAATTGGTCACGTGTTCTGGACATCCTTATAGGTTTGAGATTTTTTGAAAAAGTTTCAACTTCTGGTGAATAAAAAGACAAGTCATATTTGTTATAAGTTATATTGGGAAATATCCACATAGTATTTGACATACAGTTTGATGTATAATATACAACTCTCGAATTTTTAAGGACAGATTTTCAAGCATTGATAAGCCTAAATTAACTAGGTCACTAACCATTTCACTAATATCTAATATGGCTAAGAAATAATTTAGCTACCTTTTAAAAATGATGGGAAACTTTAAAAAAGGTACTCGTCAGAAATGATGATGAAAAGCTAGTATAAAACTGACAAGCAGTATTTCCACTCTCTGTAAAAATCTATCAAGGACAAAATGTTTAGGCCTTTCGCGGCCGAGGTTTTCAGTATCACTATTTTTCGGGTCTCCTGAGTAACCAGCGAAACGTCAGGAAGAAATTCCAATCATCGTCGGCCCTTCAAACCCGAAAAATTGTGATACTGAATCTATTTAAGATTTGTTACTGAATACTTGTTATCAGGCAATTTTCAGTGATTCCCTCAAGATCCAAACAACATTTTCTATTAGGTTATCTCGAAAAATGACCTTCAAAAAAAAGTTTCAATATTAATTGATGCATATAAAGACAGTGAACATATATTAATTCCCACTCCTTCATGATATTCACATACAGAAACGAATCAGTTTTCTCGTATCCTGAAACTTGCAGGTTGGAATTTCATTATGATTCTTGTATAAATTGCTTGTCAATTTTACCGAATACTTTACATTATATTCTGGCTATAACTTTTCGTTGGGCCTAAGTGATACAAAAAAATGAAAATTACATAACTTCTGATAACAAATAATCCTTGTAGAAAAAACTATATGGAAACCAATCAGTTGTCTCTTACTAGTTTTTGAAAACCAGAGCAAAACCAAACACAACACATTTATGATCCAACATACTAGATGACGCTCTTTTTCGAGCTGCCTGAACCACAAATGCATTACTGGACTCTGCTGTTTGTAAAGGACAGCCTGAGAAGTGAGGAGGAAAATGACAGCTACCCTTACGAAAACGCCATCTATGGAATTCACAGCGAAGGACAGCCTCTTAAAAGGGCTTTCCAAGACTTTTGGGCTGTGATTTTCAATGAAAGCTGCAGCAAAAAACAGAGAACGAGTCTCGCCGGCAGTCGATGTCAGAGCTTGGCTGACTACCTGTCGATCTCATAGATGTCGCCTTCGTAAGGAAAGACGTCATCGCTCTTACTTACTACTCTGTTTTTTCTTCATCTATTTCTATCGGTTGTTATTTTGTGACAGACTTTCCTTCAAGGATCCGTTTAGTCAATTGATAACACACATGCAAACACAAAGACATTAATAATCACAGTTTTTAAATTTACAAATCGAAAACGTACAATCAAATTTACAAAAATAAATTGCTCGCTTATCTTCAGTTGGAACCGTTCATAAATTTATATTAGATAGTTATAACTCCAACCTTAACGATAATTCAGCTAGAAATCTTATAGAACCTTACTTTAGGGTATATATATTTAACATTTACAAAAATTGTAGAAAACATTCTCTTAACTTTGACTGTCGCCATAATTTTACTTAGCTTACTCGCCCCTCTTAAATCAGATATAAATAAATTATTAGGCAAAAAAATGGACTGAGTTCTTACAGTACGTTCCTCGATAAGTAAGGGTATGAGAATAAAGTGCTAATTAGGTGCTCATTACATATTTATAGTAAATCTAGATTCCATGATTCAAATGGGGCTTATGGGCCCGATAACCACCATTCAAATATTTTCGAATCTCTTTCGAATCTTTTTCGAATCTCGAAAACGATCACCTCCAGCGTTGTGCAGGAGGTGTACCTTTTTTACTTGGAAAAGGTGTGGGAATTAGGGTTTCTCATGAAAAGTACCAAAAGTTTACTGTCAAAAAAAGTTAGGGCAGTTTGAAATAAATATTGACTGCGTACGCAGCGCCCTCTAGATGTAACTTCTAAATTATAATTTCACACGTCAAAAAAAACCGGGTACCGAATTTAGTGGAAATAACTTATTTTTTGCAAGAGTTATTTTCAAAAAGCGAACAAAAACATTCAATTTCAACACCCTGTATCTTCGAAACGAAGCATTTTCGGACATGAGTTCATATAGACTTTTTTTTCTTAAAAGTGTCTCAGGAATACGTCACTTGAATATTTTGACGTACTTATGTTACACCCTGTATACTGATCGATAGAGAAATTTATACTCTAACGTTGATGCTGTTTTTTTTTTAAATTTTGATTTTTTGCTTCTTTTCAACTCATTACTATCGATCCTCACCATTGGGAGCTCGGAAACGGAGCTCCGAGATACGAAGATGGTTAAATTGGAACAAAGTTGCGCATTAACCTGACGAACTATATGATGTTGAGAAAGTTCTGAAATTCCGAGTATATCCGGAGATATCCGAAAAAAACAGAAATCTCGGAAAATGGTTTTAATTTTTTTCTGGCTTCATTTTTCGAAGGATTCGAAAATAAATTGCCACTTCCACGTTGCCACTTTTTCCCTGCTACATAATGGTGTTTTCAGGTTTGCTATCCGACATTCTTTACTATTAAGCTGTTGATCTCAGTATGTGACGCCATGAAATATAAACGATATTGCATTTCATTTAGATTCCATTTGAACAGTAGATTCCATACAATTTGATGAAGGCAAAGGCTGCATCAAGTTTTTCAGGGACAGTAGATTCCATACAATTTGATGAAGGCAAAGGCTGCATCAAGTTTTTCAGGGACAGTAGATTCCATACAATTTGATGAAGGCAGAGGCTGCATCAAGTTTTTCAGGGACAGTAGATTCCATACAATTTGATGAAGGCA